GGCTCCCTTGAAAAGCACCACTCAAGGTATTTGGGGGGGTTGCTTTGGGGGAATTTGGGGGAAGGAAGGGAGATAGATGTGTCTGCTCATTAGACCATTTTGCCACACTCTCCCAGAAGGCTTCAAAATACAGCGAATGAGAACATGTCCCACTGTGCTTCAGGCTCACCAGCCTTACTTCACTTCCTTGAACGTGCCATGCTGCTTCTCCGCTTAAATCTTTTTCTTGCACAGTTCCCTCGCCTGAAATGCTCTCCCCCTATACCCATCTCCCTGTGTAACTCCTCCTGGACATTTAGAGCTCAGCATAGATACCCTTTCTCAAGGGGAATTTTCCAAGCCCCCTCCCCCACTATGGGTGGTAGACCCTCTTACCACTGGGTACTTGGCAACTCTGGTGTACAGGCTAAATTTGGTTGAGTACTGCCAGACAATTGCCCAAAATGGCTGCTCAAGCCCAGACTCTCACCAACAGTACATGGAGGTCCCTGTATCTCCACAAGACTGCCAAATTTCATGTGATTCAGTTCTCTTAATTTCTTCTAGTACGATGGATATAAAGTAATATGTCATTTTTTAAAAATTGCACCTCTCTAATGATTAGTAAAATTGAGCATGTCTTCACATGCTTGATAACCTCATGGGTTTCCTCTTGTGTGAGCTGTCTATTCCTATCCTTTGCCCATTTTTCTTTGAGGCTCTTATTTTTTTCTTGCTGTTTCTCAAAGTCACTTTTATATTCTGGATGTTTAATCTCAGGTGATTTCAGCTATAGCAAATAGATATTTGCTGTTTCATCTGTTAACTTTGTGTATAGGGTCTTTCATTAAACAGAAACTGTAAATTTTGATATGTACATTGTCATTAACTTTCTTCCTTGTGGTTTGTGCTTTTGAAGTTTTGTTCAGGAAGTCCCTCCTCATCCCTAGGTCACATAGTATATTTTTCTATTAACTTATAGTGTTTTCTTTTACATGAAAATCTTTAAGCTGTCCGGAGCTATTGTTTGTATATGGTGTGAGGACTCCAGCTTATTTTCTTTCAGTTTTCCATACACCATCTTACCTTTCTGTCCTTAGAACACATCCTAATGCCTGTTAAGTCAAGTCTACTTTCTTATCTTTTTCAGAAATGATTTAGCGCTTCACAAATCTTTATTCTTTTTTTAATTCTTTTATATATATATTTATTTATTGAGATATAATCACATACATAAGATTCATCATTTTAAAGTGTACAATTCAATGGTTTTTAGTATATTCACTAAGTTGGTCACCCATCACCATTATCTAACACCAGAACATTTTCATCACCTCAGAAAGAAACCCTGTACTTATTTGCAGCCACCCCTGTTCCCTTCTCTTCTCCCCTCAGCCCCTGACAACTACTAATCAACTATCTCTATGAATTTGCTTATTCTGAACATTTCACATAAATGGAATCACAAATTATGTGAATTTTTATGTCTGGCTCCTTTTCACTCTGCATAATTTCAAATTTCATCCATATTGCAACATGTATCAGTACTTTTTTTCTTTTTATGGATGAGTAATATTCCATTTTATGGATATACCTCACTTTGTCTATCCAGTCATCAGTTGGTAGATATTTGAGTTGTTTCTATTTGGGGGCTATTATGAAAAATAATGCTTTGAACATTCATGTAAAAGTTTTGTGTGGACTCTTTATAATCATTATTGAATAAGATTTATTGATTTTCCTTAAAATGTTCAGCTGGGATTTAAATTAAGATTATATAGAAATTATATAGTAATTTGGATGTAACAGAAATAGTTATAATATGAAATAGTTTCATCCAAGAGAATGAAACATGTCTTCTTTTATTCAGATTATCTTTTGTGTAACAATATTACCACAAATTTCTCAGCTTAAAACATTAACTAACAGTATCTGTGGGTCAGGAGTCAGGGTATGGTTTAAGTGGATTCTTTGCTTCAGTTCAGTTCAGTCACTCAGTCGTGTCCCACTCTTTGTGACCCCAAGAATCGCAGCACGCCAGGCCTCCCTGTTCATCACCAACTCCTGGAGCTTACTCAAACTCATGCCCATCGAATCGGTGATGCCATCCAGCCATCTCACCCTCTGTCGTCCCCTTCTCCTCCTGCCCTCAATCTTTCCCAGCATCAGGGTCTTTTCAAATGAGTCAGCTCTTCACATGAGGTGGCCAAAGTATTGGAGCTTCAGCTTCAACATCAGTCCTTCCAGTGAACACCCAGGACTGATCTCCTTTTGAATGGATTGGTTGGATCTCCTTGCAGTCCAAGTGACTCTCAAGAGTCTTCTCCAACACCACAGTTCAAAAGCATCAATTCTTCAGCACTTAACTTTCTTCACAGTCCAACTCTCACATCCATACATGACCACTGGAAAAACCATAGCCTTGACCAGATGGACTTTTGTTGGCAAAGTAATGTCTCTTCTTTTTAATATGCTATCTAGGTTGGTCATAACTTTCCTTCCAAGGAGTAAGCGTCTTTTAATTTCATGGCTGCAGTCACCATCTGCAGTGATTTTGGAGCCCCCAAAAATAAAATCTCACAAAGTTGAAATGAAGGTGTTGACCAGAGCTACAGTCTCATCTGATGCTCGTCTGGGGAAGGATCTGTTTCCAAGCTCACTCAGGTTGTTGGCAGAATTCAGTTCATTGCAGTCATAAGACAGAAGGCTTCAATTTCTTGCTGGCTGTCAGCTGGGGTCACCCTTAGCTCCTAAAGGCCACCTTCTATTCCTTGCCATGTGAGGTTCCCCAAAGTGGTCAATTGTTTCATGAAAGCCAACAAGGGAGTGGGAGTTGCCTCACAAGCTGATCATTTCCACCTCATTTTTAACATGATTATGTACATGTAATCACATTCATCTGTTCACCTTTGGACACACACACACTCAAAGGGAGGGGACTACCCAAGGATGAGAATACAAGGAGACAAGGATCATGGGAGCCATCATAATTGTGTGTCCATTACACCATCCCTGAGCATATAATCTTCAGGTTCATAAGGGGATGTGTGTAAGGATTTGGGGGCTTCCCAGGTGGCTCAAGTGGTAAAGAATCCGCCTGCCAATGCAGGAGTCACAGGAGATGCAGGCTTGATCCCTGGGTCGGGAAGATCCCCTGGCAACCCACTCCAGTATTCTCTTTTTTCCTCCAACCAGGTTTATTAAACTTAACAAAATTCTGTATACAAGGTGACCTAAATATGCTGCTTCAAAACATGATAGTTTTCTTAACTAGCATTTTGATAAGTCAATCCATAGAGTGTCAAAAGGCAGCCTACTCTAAAATTAATAGAAAAGTGCTCAATATATATCACATGAATGGTCTAATTGTTCTATAAGATAATTAATATAAGGTATGACTGAGTCCCTGTGACAGGCTGCTGGAGAACTGATGCGAGTTGTCAGGAGGCCATTTTGTGAACTGCCACTGTGATGCCGTCGTGTTTCTGGATCATAATCTTCCCATTATTTGATTCTAGATACACCACAAGAATATCAGTGGGGTCCGAGGTTAGCTTAGCTGCTTGCTGGGCTAGTACAGATATCACCCCAGCATGCTCATCTGACAGGGTTCCGCAGCAACCTAGATTGAGTCCCTGTGGATCTGTGCACAGGACTCTGAAAATGGATGGATTCTTCATTGTGTCCTCCAAGTGCTGCTCTAAGGTAGCCTCTATCCCGCTGTGTGTCACCTCCTTCTTTGCCATGGGTTTCATGTGCCCCTTGGTCCCCACTCCAGTATTCTCGCTGAGCAAGAGTTGGACACGACTGAGCACGCACAGTAGAAGCAGTTAGAATGATTTAGATATACTCATAGCAACACAAATGGATCTTTCTTTTATTCACTTTTGATTTAAGTCATGTTACCATACTTTTAAAATTCCAACCAAAATGAAAATACCTTTAAAAAATCTGGTTATAATAATGATACATATTCATTGAAACTTTTTTTCAGATAACAGAGAAAAATCTAAAGGAGAATGTGACAAAGCATCTGTCATCTCCCCCTGCACCCACAATAACCACTGATATGCCCTTCCTGTCATTTTCCCCCCTATAGATACAGAAATTTTACCAAAGTTTTGTTTTGTTTGCTGTATCATTTTATGTGGCTTAAAATCCTTTTGGAATAATTTATGAATGAGATCGATCTACGTATCTATGGAAGACAAGTAGAGACAACAAAATAAAGACAGAGACAGGAGGAGGGTTGCAGAGATGAAGGGAGAGAAAGAATAAGAGGCAGGAAGAGATAGATGGGAGGGGAAGACAGAGAGACCTATGGGCATATAAGGTCAGAAAGAGAAACAGAGCAATGGAGAGATGAAGATACTGGAAAAGAGACAAGGAAAGGATATAAAGGAGCTTTTATTGAGCTCCTAGTAAATGCCATTTTTAAAAAGTTTTTTAAAAATTGAATTTGTTATGACATTGCTTTGTTTTATGTTTTGGTGTTCCGTTAGGAGGCATGTAGGATCTTAGCTCCCTGATGAAGGATTGAATCCATTGCTCCCTGCATTGGAAGGTGAAGTCTTACCCACAGGACCACTAGGGAAGTCCTCTAAATACCCTTCTTATTAAACCTTCAAAGCCACTCTGGGAGACAGTTACTAGTAACCGCTTTATGCAGGTAAGGGACAGCATCTTAGAATGGTGAACTAATTGAAGTCATCACTCTGTAAAGGCCATGGTCCATAGGCCATCTGTAACTGTTTATCCAATGAACAAAATAGTATATCTCCTCCCCAAGAAGCGGGGCGGCAGGGGGGACCAGACCCTCATTTCACTCCACTGAGTCATTTTTCCTGCCTGTCTGCTGAGGCGACAGCAAAGTCTGTTGCTCTGGCAACTGGCCTCCGATTGCCATGGCAACCGCCATCAAAGGCTCCAGCTCATCACCTTGCCCCTCGGGCATCTCCTTGGCAACGGGCAGGATACGGAGGCTGAGGGAGCTAAAGGCTGCGCTTGCGTAGAGTGACAGGATGGGATGGGCAGGGAAGGGCAAGATTCCTCAGCCTGCGCAGCCGCAAAGCACCGCAGCGGTGCGGGGTAGCTCAGGCGCTGCGCACTTGCCAGTCAGTCCGCCTGTCCGGAGCCCGGCTCGCTGGGGCAGCATGGCGGGGTCGCCACTTACAGGCGAGGATCGGTGCCTGGCCGCTGGCCCCTTATCCTCGCTGGCCCCAGTTCTTGGGACCTGTGGAGAGATCGGCCATGGGGGCCTGGGGTCCAGCCTCCAGTCTGCGCCCAGGCCATGCCAGCCTCCATCTCTTGGGTGTGCGGGTGGCAGTATCTGGGGGTCGTCTGGCCGCCGCGCCCTGCCCGCACTAGGCGCTGGGCCCGGCCTTGCCCCGCCCGCCGTCTGTGGCGCTGTCCACGGGCGTAGCACACTGGAAGGCGAGGGATGCGGACCTCGGTCTGTGTCCGAAAGATGTGATGGCAGGGATATGAGTGCGTGCTGTCTCTGTGTGTTTCTTTTGATGTAAGTGTGTGATGCTTCTGTGTGTGACTTTTCTCAGTGTGACACCGGTGTGTTTGTGATTCCTGTGGTGATGGAGTGACTTATGGGTGTGTCTGTGTGTTTGGGTGTGCGCCTGTGTGATTGTCTTTTTTGTTTGAGAGGGAGTGGTCTTTGCATCCCCTAGGTGCACATCCCATTTCAGTTCTGTTGAACTGAGAGACTGGGATTTTGTATATGTGTTGATGAGACTCTTTCTTTGTGGAGCTGTGTCATTGTGGAGAGGAGCCATGATGTCGCTCTCTGTGCAGCATTATGTCTTTAAGTGTGGTGCGTGCTCTTGCATCTACATGGCTTGGCAATTGTAACTGCATAGCATTGGTGAGTATGAATGTTTGCAGCCCCCCCCCCCCCAGACCTCCAGTGTGGATGTGGCAGCGTTGGGTTGCATATTTGACATCTCAAGGCTTGTCAGTCCAAGTAGTGTGTGTGAGACCACAATTGACGTGTGTGATTCCCTGGGGGATCTCAGGGGTGGTGGCCATCAAGGGCACTTGGAGCACATCCTCCTCTAATGAAGAGTTCAAGGCTGCATACAGCCTTGCATCCTATGCATCAAGGATGGCTTTTTTTAAAAAGTATTCTTTATATATGAGAATATATCTAAATATAGTATATATACAGTGTAAGAAATAATGATAAAATAATCCCTTTGTGTACCCATTACTCAGCTTAAGAAATCAAACATGATCAATAGTTAGAAGCCCCTGGGTGCCTCTTGCCACAGTAGCCTCTCTCTTCCATAATCATTATCCTGTATTTTCTGTTAATTGATCCCTTACTTTTGTTTGTAGCTTATCATCTACGTCTGTATCTCTAAACAATATGTTGTTTAGTTTTTCCTCACAGAGATGGAATTATACTGGGTGTCTGGCTCCTGGTAGCCACTAGGGGTCACTAGGAAGTCATCAGGGTATCTGGTTGTAACAGGCAGTCTGCAGTGGAATTCTGGAACTTGCTTTTTTTTTACACATTGGTTGTGAGATTCATCCACATTGAAGTATGTGGCTATAATTATTTTTATTACTGCATAATATTTTACACTATGAGTATATCATGAGTGTATGAGTATATCATGATTTATAGATGCATTTTCAATATGCCGGCAACATTTTGGTTTCTAGGCGTTTTATTTCCTCCCTTCACTTTTATGCTGTTATGAACAGTTCTGCTGTAATTTTTCATGAACCCTTGTCCAGTAGTATATGCACAAAAGCTACTCTGGGGTGTAACACCCCAGGAGTGGGGCATACATGTGCATCTTTCAAGACATTGCCAAATTGTTCCTCAACGTTATTTTGACAGTTGCGTTCCCAGCAGCAATGAATAAAAGCTTCCATTTTTTTCTACATCCATATCAACATTTGATACAGTCAGACTTTAATTTTGGCAGTCTTTTGCACTCCCCCTGCATAGTGTATCTCATTGGTGTTTTAATTTGCATTTTCCTAATTACTAATGAGGTTCACTAGTTTTCATTTGCTTAGTAACTGTTTTTGGTTCCTTTTTTGTGAAATACTTGATCATCAGTTTTGCCCATTTTTGTATTAATTTGCTTTTATCTTACTGCTTTTTAGGAATTTTTGGTATATTGGACACTGTTCCTTTATTGATTATTTGTGTTACAAGCATATTCTCCTACTCTGATTTTACTTTTCATTCTTTTTATGGTGTCTTGGGATAAAAAGAAATTCTTAGCTTGATGTAGTCAAATTAATTTTTTCCCTTTCCATTGATCCCAAATTTGGATCATTTGTTTTTCCTGCACAATTTACTGAAGTTGTTCCTGTCCCTCACAGCTCTGCAGTGTCCCCTCTGTTGTAGCAAGTGTCAGTGTGTGTGAATCTGTTTCCAAGCTCTGTTCAATTCTGTTTCTTCCACTGCATTGAATCTGTGGTTTAACTTGCCCATTCAAATTTTAATTTCATTTATTTTTCTAAATGTGCTGTATGTTTCTTTTTCAAATCTTCATGGCCATTTAATGGTCTTTTGTTCCTTTCTAATACTTTTGATATCTTTTATTTCTTTAAACTTACTGAAATTGCTTCAAAACTGCCTGAACTGAACATTAGTCGCTGGGTAACTTATTTTACAGATAAACTTGGATATACAAATGATATATGTATACAAAAGATATATAAATGATATATGAACACAGTTATTCATTACGACATTATTTATAAGAATAGAAAAAGATTGGAAACATCCTAAATGTTTATCAGTTGGACTGGTTAAATAAACTATTGTACATTCATAGGAGACGGATTCAAAGCAGAAGAAAGGAAGGATCGAAGACAGAAAGGATGCTTTTAGGGTAGGATCTAGACATAGATTCCAAAAAAACAAGCAGAACAGTCTGCTACCTTTCGGGTAAAACAAATGGACAGTTAGGAATCTGTAAAATGCAAATATTGGTTCCTATTGTCCACAACATTAATATAGAAAAATCCATTGCTGTCTTATCTACCGTCTCTATTCCTATAAAGAAACCTGGTCTTCAGCAGCCCCGGGGGGCAAGGTGTGAGTCACTAGGAAATCGTTGGCGGGGGGTGGGGAGGTGGGGGTGAATCTAGGGGTCTTCGGTGGCCCTAAGTGTGGCCAGAGATATTTGTGGGTCTCCATTGGCCTTAGGGGTGTCTACTCATATTTGAGGACCCACGGCACCTTTGGTGGCATCTAGGGATATTTGAGGTCCGCGGAGTCCTGCGGATTGGGAGTCCCTGGCCGGGCGAACTCTGAAGACCTCCCCCCTCCAACCTGTCTTCCCGCAGGAGCCCCGCAGCCTGGGCGCAGCCTCGCCGCCCTTGGCTGAGGCCAGCGCTCCCCGCCGCTTCCGGCGGGCGGCGCCGAGGGGAGAGGCTGCGGGGGCTGTGCAGGAGCTGGCGCGGGCGCTGGCGCACCTGCTGGAAGCCGAACGGCAGGAGCGGGCGCGGGCTGAGGCGCAGGAGGCCGAGGATCAGCAGGCGCGCGTCCTGGCGCAGCTCCGGCGCATCTGGGGCGCACCCCGTACCAGTGACCCGGCCCTGGGCCTAGAGAACGACCCCGACGCGCCCGCCGCGCAGCTCGCCCGTGCCCTGCTCCGCGCCCGCCTGGACCCGGCGGCCCTGGCAGCCCAGCTTGTCCCCGCCCCTCCCCCCGCCGCGGCGCTCAGACTCCGGCCCCCAGTCTACGACGATGGCCCCACGGGCCCCGATGGCGAGGACGCCGGCGACGAGACGCCAGACCTGGACCCCGAGCTGCTGAGGTACCTCCACGAAGGGTGGTCGGGGGCGGGCGCCATCATCCTGGGAGCAAGGGGCCGAGGAGCGGCGGAGGGCCTTCTTCACAGGGTGGAGGTGCGAACACCTAGGTCCTGGGACCCTAGGTGGGGGCAGAGGTGCCTGGCTGGCTCCCTTCGTCCGAATAGCTGGAGTGAGAGGCAGGGATACCTGTCTCCAGAAAGAGGTGGGAAGCCTGAGTGGTAGGAGGCTGCCAGGTCCCCGAGAGGTTAGAGGTACCGGCGCCCTCCAGGTCCTAGGGCCGAGGCGTTGACTCACAGACACCCCCCTCACTGCAGGTATTTGTTGGGTCGGATCCTAACGGGAATCGCCGACACCGAAGCCGTCGCTGCCCCGCGTCGCCTCCGCCGCGCCGCCGACCAGGATATGGGCCCTGAGCTACCCGCTGAGGGCGTGCTGGGGGCCCTGCTGCGTGTGAAGCGTCTGGAGACCCCCGCACCCCAAGCGCCGGCGCGCCGCCTCCTGCCCTGAGCACCGCCTGGATCCCGTGCACCCTCCTGCCCAGGACACCCTGCCAGCTCCCGCCAGCCACAGTTGCTGCCCTCGAACCCCAGGATCCCCACCCAACCCCACAATAAATATGATCTGAAGCAGTTATGTACTTGTTTGTGTGAGTGGCAGTGTCTAGGGGGCCTGTGGAGTAAGTGGTGATGGCTCTCCTTAGACAATGGAAGAAGAGCCCCAGCCCTTGGTCCAGCACTTTTAAGACAACCCCCACCCTGCAGTCTCTGCCTCTCCTCCCTGGGGAGATCTCCATGTGGGCAGTGGCAGTGCCTACTAGATTTTGTGCCCTGTTTCTAGGCCTCAGTTGGGAATGGGGAGCCCAGAAGTCTTTGAGGGCCACTTTCAGCAGCATCTTCTCGGAGTCCATCCCAAGGACCAAGCTGTTTGTGAGGCAGGTGAATACAGCTTGGACAGTCCTGGGATGTCCACTTGCACACATGAACTCCCTGATGTGGGGAGGGGGCTTCCTGAGGGAAGAGAAAGGGAGTGGGCTGCTGGCCAGGAGTCAGCCCTCCCAACGCTGTCACTTTCTGGGCCTTCAGATCATTGAGAAAATGTATTCAAGGTAGGAGGATAGGATGAATTTTGTTAGCTTGATATGTAATGTTGAAATATTTAATTATATATTAATAGTATAGAGGCCACTCTTATTGTTCTGTTACCCCAGCCCTGAACATATTGGGAGTCAATGTGGTGGTAACTGGTGTGCACTGGCTATTCCCTCTGCCCCTAATTATCCACAAGATTTTGCTCAAATGTCACCTACTAAGGCTTTCCTTGACCTCCATGTCACTCTATTCCTCCACCTGCCTTTACTACATACCCTCATGTCCTATCTACAAGGGCAGGGATTTTCCATGTCTTGCCTCTACATCTTCTGTACCCAAAGCAGGGCCTGGCACATAGGGGTTTCCCCCACATTTCTTGAATGGAAGAATTCTCACAATTCAATAACATTCTCCCCACCCAGTCTCATTCCCACCCACATAACACTTGGCATGGAGGCAGTTTTGAAACCTAAGAACACCATTTATTTGTGCACAGAATCTCTCAACTTGATATAACACAACCAACACTATGTTCCACACTGCCAAAAAGCCCATCACCAAAAGAAAACCTCCCCAGAAGAAGAGACACCCAGTGTCCCACACAGCTACTTGCTGGTAGTGGGGGCCATGTGAAGGAACCATCACCCTGGTCTGGGGGAGGGTCCACTTTTCTAGACTTAAGACCTTCAGGCCACAGAGCAGCCACAGTGGCACATGGCTTTCTGGTGCCGGCCTTTATCCCCACCTGGCCCTGCCGTGGCCTCTTTTGCCATGGCCTCCCGGACCCTTTGGATCTCATGGATGAGTAGGGAAAAGGCCTCCACCACACCCTGGCGTGTCTTGGCTGAGGTCTCTATGAAAGGGGCCCCCCAGCTCTTTGCGAGGGCTGCAGCAGCGGCATGAGCATCTCCAGTGGTGGTCACAAGGTCACATTTGTTGCCCACAAGGACAAGGGGCTGGGTGTGGTGTGGGCCCCAGGTGGCCCGCATCTGCTGCAGCTGGGCTAGAGATGAGGGGTCATCGAGGGCGAAGACACCCAGCACACCATCGCCAATCGCCAAACACTGGTCACGCAGGGCCTGATGAGTGGCCTGCCCTGCTGTGTCCAGCACATTCAGAATGCAGCCTCCGTGGTCTAGGGCCATCTCCTTCCAGTAGGAATCCTGGATGGTGGGGTCATGATCTTCCACAAAGCACTGGTTGTTCAGCTGGATGGTCAGTGCACTCTTTCCCACACCACTTGCGCCCACCACCACAGCCTTGTACTCGGGCAGCTTCTTGCCTACACCCTTGGAGGGTGCCCCCCAAGCCCTGTGGCTCTGCTCCCGGGATCTAGGGCTCCAGGTGCCCAGGCCCAAATCAAACATGTCAGGCTTTGTCGGCTGTGCCATGGCTCCAAGTGGGCAGCTCAGGGAAGAGATGTGGACAGCAGGCTCTGCAGATGAGAAGAGAAGAAAGACAGTGGGGGTGGGGGGTTGGGAGATTAGGTGAGACCATTTAGGGACAGCCAGGTGTTATTGAATCAACATTTATTGAGTGCCTGGTGTGTACCAATCACCTAATATAGTATATACATTATTCATGTTGTCTATTCTCTCTTATTCCCCTTTACAACATAAACTCTGTGAAGGCAGGGATTTTTAAAACACCTTGATTAATTTATATACTATAAAGTTAACCTAAAGTGTATAATTGTTTTTTAAATTCATTCACGGAGTTGTGTGACCATCACCGTAATCTTAGAACATTTCCAGTCACCTGGAAAAGATACCCCCTGCCCATTAGCAGTTCCTCCCCATTCTGGAGGGACGGCAGGAATTTCATCAGTTTTGATTTTGGATCATGTCAGTGTTGGACCCCAGCCCAGGATACTGCCAGTCACAGTTTGTGCTGAGCAACATTCCTGCCCCAGGAGTTTATGTTCTAAAAGAAGAAAACATCAAGAGGGAGGGAATATATGAATACCTACCTACGGCTCATCCATGTTGATGTATTGAAGAAACCAACACAATATTTTAATTATCCTTCAATTAAAAATATATTTTAAAAAGATGGAAACAATAAACCAAAGAATTAAGCAAATTATGAAGTCTGTTAACCATAATCATTGGAATTTAGTCTTTATTACTTATCCAACATATAGCTATTGAGAACCTACTGTGTGGTAAGGACAAAGAGGTGAGGGAAAAGAGATTAACAAACCCTGGCCCTCCCGAACGTGACTTTCTAGTCAGGAAAACAGACAACAAAGATAAATCAGTAAGAATGCTTCAGTAATAGGTGATAAGCAGGGAGAAGGTGCTTAGTTAATGTTAGGCATTTCTATTATAATTTAATTTTCATTCACTAATTCGGGGACCTTCCTGCATGCCAGGCATTGTGATGGGTGTGGAGATGGGAGGTAGGGTTGGGGGCAGGAGGTGTGGGGGTGGTGAAGTGGCTGAGAACAAAATAAAGTCCCTGCCCTTGGGAGGATTCTGGAAGTGAGAAAGAGACAATAAACAAGATAAGCAAGTAAATTACCATGCAGTTAGAAGACGAGGAGCACACAGCAGGTGCTCAATTAGCGTCGACTATTAATAGAATGTCACCATTAACCCATTCAATACACATCCCTGATCTTGGTTTGGTGTGTGGCCTCAGGATATGCATCATAATGGTTGAGGCTCCAAGTCTCCCCGGAAGCCCAGGGGCAGTGGCAGCTAGGCGGGATGGGAGAATTCTGTGGCTTTTGGGATCCAAGGGTCAGAGTTGGGGTGGAGGGGAAGGTTCCAGGTGGAGATCCAGCTGTGGGGCCTCAGCCCAGAGAGGATCCCTGGAAAGAGCTGTGGAATGTGCTCTTCCGCTAGGAAGGGGGACCTGATAGGGAGAGGTTAGCAGAAGACAGAGCTCTGGTGGTCCCGCCACCCCCACCCCCGACTCCGGTTGCGGGACAGAAACGGAGAGATCCGATCTTGAGGATGGGCTCAGGGGAGGGGGCCAGCCAGGAGCCAGGGCAGCAGTGCAGGCCGTAGGGGACCTGTATGAGAGCAGAGCGGGATTTGGGGATGTTCTGAAGGCCAGCCTGACAGGGTTTTTGCTGAGGGTTTGGAGGCAGGGGACGGGGTGCAGGCGGCCGGAGAGGTGGCCGCTGTCACCTGAGACAGGGCCGGGTGCGAGGGACCTTCGCCCTGGGCAGGGGTCACCGGGGCTGAGACTGCCACGCAACGAGGAACCGGAACTGCGAGGCTTGGGAAAGTGAGTGGCGGTGACTGACCCGAGGTCACACAGACCATTGCAGGGTGGCAGGGGAGTGGGGAAGCAACGGTGCCAACTGCCAGTGGAGGGTGGTCGGGGACCCCTCCCCCCAGGCATGAACCGCTTGTGTCGCCTCCCTGACCCAAGGAGCAGGGGTACGGGAGGGGCATGTCCACCCAACGGCAGTCCCTTCCATCTCCTTCCAGGATGGCCCGGGATCTGCACCACCTCAGTTAGGCATCCCCTGACTAGCCCAGGAGGCTAGCCCTGCGTGGGGCTGGGAGGGGGGCACACCCAGTTTCACCCCAAAGCCGCTCTCGGCCTGCACCTTCCCGCCCAGCTCCCAACTCCCCGTTCCCCGCCTGGGGCCTACACCCTCACCCAGGTCCGTACTCACGTTCTCACAAAGGCGGCCCGGAGGTTGCAGAGACGGAGATTGCAGGTCTCTGCGGAGGGGAGGCAAATAGGGGAAACTGCCCTCACACCTGACCTCGGCCACACCCCCACAGCCTTAAGTGGAAGGACCGCCCAGGTCGGTGTGGGGGTGGGGGGCAGGGGGAGACCTGGTGCCCCAGCTCACCTCAGTTCCAGGAAGGCCGGTGGCGTTGGGACCCCAACCACTGCTCTGACAGGGAAGGAGATGCTCCCCCAGGTCCCAGAGGCGGGATGGGGAAAGGGAGGAAGGGAGTACACATGCGCATCAGGCTGCCCTCAGGCCCCTCTGCTGGCGCGCACCCCTGACAGTTCAGCGCTCCCAGGTGGGTGTGCCCGGAGGTATTCTTGAGGTGTGCTGTAAGCGCTGACCACTCTGTGTACCATGTGCATCCTGCTGCACCTCTTCTTTACCTTGCCCCCACCTGGGACGTGATTTTGTGTGTTTAGTGTATGGGAGGGGGTTGTTACATTTTTGACCTGAGTGTCCTGTCTTTGCGAAATGTTTTGTGAGGGCCTCTCTGAGGCCTGGGAGCGTGCGCTGCCTCAAGCAGGCGTTTTGATAGCATAGGAGAGAGTTGCATCCGGTCCTGAAGGGAGGAGAAAGTTGCAAAGCAGGGGTTATTCTGTAAAGGTCAAAAGGACCTGATTTGAGATAGATATGTGCCAAGTTACATTTCCCAGACTCCCTTGCAGCTATGGCTGTCATGTGACACAATTCTGACCAGTGAAATGTAAGCAGTTGTGGAAGGGGGGAAACCAGAATGCTCCTTTAAAGGGGATGACTGAGCTGACCAGCAGCCCATTTTCCCATTCTCTTTTCTTGATTGGGTGAGGCTCTGATAGTCATGTTGGGAGCATGAGGGTGGCCATGAAGAAAAGTCCAGGAAACATCAGCCTGGACTCCTTTGAGTAGCCAAAGCAATTCTCATTACGTAGGGGAAATAAAACAGCCAAATTATCCTCCAATTCCCCACCCTTGGTCAGTAGTAGATACTCCTTCCCCCAGGAAAGCTACCCATGACCATCAAATCTAAGCATGGTAAACCTGGACATTGTTCCCCCCTCTCCACCCCCACAATCAAGACAAAAAAACATATAGGAGGCCTAATGAGGACACTTCATGATCATTTTTCTCACCTTCCCAGCCCAGGGTGTAGCTGGACTAGCTGTGAGCCTTCTATTTCTAAGGCAGGTGCTCCTTTTCTCATAGAGTTCACCATTTAACCTCTTATGGAGCCAGTTAATAGAGCTGCTTGCTCTATTGTCAGCTAATTTGGGGGGGGGCACTGGTTGAACAGGGGGTTGACCTGATAAAGACCCATAAAGACCCACACCTTCATTCCTTCATCACTCATCAGCTCTGTTGGCCAGAAGGGTGGGCTTCTTTACTCACTCAAGATTAAAAGCTTTCTCCAGGTGTTGTAATAGTTTGTACTTTATTGCATATGCAACCCTGCCACACTACAGTTGATTCTCTTGCCCTCCAAAGTAGGTTTATATCAGGCCCCTTTGGGGTCACTGAGCTGTGCTCCCCTTTCCTTTTGCAGCAGAGTAGATAGAGTCCCTTGAGCAGGTAGTGGGCAGGGAGAGATACACAATCGATGACCACAGTCTTCATACAAGTACGTACACTTAAATCAGCACCCTGTGGGAGTTGGAAAGGGTCTTCAGGATGGGATGAACTAAGGCTGGTCTATCTTGGGACTCTGAAGGTAAGGGAGCACATCCTGGGATTTAGTCTGAGTGGGGCATGTCTTCCCCAAACTTGTTCTGGTGGGCGATGTTCTTCACCGCTAGGAGATCCTGAGAAGGAGGCAAGAGAGGGGAGGTAAAGTGAGCACCCCTCTACCTCAGCTAGGAGGCAGCCCCAACTCCAGCCCTCAACCACACTGTCTCTTGGCCTATCCCACATGCAGAAGGGTTTCCATTTGTCCCTTACCCAATCACAAAAGGTGTGTGTATAGGGGAGGGAGTGTGAGTGAGTGTGCACACATTAGAGGGTCTGTCCAGGGCCCACCTTGTGGTGGACATAGGCCTGACAGTGGTAACACCAGGCAGACAGGTCGGCATAGCTGAGTACTAGTGGGTGTCCTGAGCCTTCATGGTGTTGGAGCATATGGGCACTGATGTAACGACCGCAGTAGACCTGAAGTTGGGGAATGAGTGTCGGGTGGAGATTAGACCCACCTAGGGTTTGCTCCTGGGTCAACCTCCACCCCACACTCTTCTTCAGCTGCATACCTGATAGCAAGACAGACACACCCAGTTCTCCTGGAGTGTTCCACAGTCCTGACAAGGTTGGGTCACGTTCAGCCCTGTCTCAGGTATGGGGCATACTGCTGCCAAATGGGGACACCAAAGCAGTGGTCTCACTGCATAAAACATGACCTGGGGTGGGTAAAACTGAGTAAGCTAGAGACTCCATCTCCCCATTATATGTTCTTATAGCACATACTCCTAGGTCGAGGCACAAATGGGTGTGAGAAGGAAGCCACCGACGTTCTAGCCTCTCCCTGAGCTCACCTGGTCAGTGTCAGCATGATCTCCAAAGACCTGCAATGGCACTGACTCATTCATGTCTTGACCTCCAGCTGCCTCTCCTAGTAGTCCTTCCTCTTCTGGGGGCTCCTGTACACATGGAGAGGAAAGAAGTATCTAGGAGGCCTGATCCTCAGCCCTTCTTCCCCTTACCTGGGTGTGGTGGGCCTTACCTGAGTCGTGCTATCTAGGTCCAATACTCTGAGATTCCCCGTCAGCTTACTAGGGGATGTCTCGACTGTGGCTCCTTGCACGGGTAAGGCTGGAGGAATCCTGTTTTCAATGCATGAGGCTGGAGGGTTTTGGATCAGCTCAGCTCCCCCTGTGGCCCCCTCTGAGATGGTCTGGTCCAGTGCAGCTCCTTGTGTGGCTGTGTCTGAAGACTGGCCCTGAGTAAGTTCTACTGGAGCTGTCTCTGACTTGGTCTGATCTGGAGTGGACTCTTTCACAGATGCTTCTGAGGCGGCCTGTCCCATGCCTGCTTCCAGGATGTTCCCTTCCACTGTGGTTGTCACACAGGCTGACCCAGAACTGGCTGGTTGGGATGCCTTCTTGGTGATCAACTTAGAACTGGAGAGTCCCTCTTTGTTTCTGCACTCTGGAACCATGGGAGGGAGATCCTTGAATGTGGGTGCTATCCCTCCTCTCACCTCTGATCCCTGCCCTCCCCTGAGCCCCCATCGCCCCCAATGCCCCATGCCCACTCACTCATGACCCGCAAACTGCGCCAGTATCTTCGATGGACTTGGATGGTTTCAGTAATAGACGCCTGGGCTCCTGATAGTGGGGGCCGCAGCCGGGTCAGCAGGGGCAGTGGATCCCCAAGGAGGGAGCGAGTGCAGGCGGCCATGGACTCTGAGATGGACGTCAGGTTATAACCACCCTTTGTTAAGGAAAAGAGGAGGGAAAGGTATGATGGGGTAGTCCTCAGGGAATTCAGGAGACACAATGTCTTGCCTCCCAATCTCCCCTTGGGCCCTGAAAGTCTGGAGGGTGGGTACTGGGGACAAGTAAGTAGAACCCACATGTGTCAGATGAGCAGCACCCACTGTGTGAGATGGTTGTGAGGGTGATAAACTTGTGATATAATGTGCAAGATAATATTAACCACAATGACAGCACTAATGGCAACAATAGTAAGAGCTAATGTTCATCAAGTGCTTGCTATGTACTAGACCCTAGTTTTTTTTTGGCCGAGCCTTGCAGCACAAGGGATCTTAGTTCCCCAACCAGGGATCAAATCCCTTCCCTGCAGTGGAAGCACAGAGTCTTAACCACTGGACCACCAGGGAAGTCCTAGACCCTATTCTAAGCTCTGAATCCTCACAGCCACATGGACCAAACTGGTGCAGGAACCTGCCT